CGTGTCCACCAGCGCCCTTCCTGGGCTGGGGCCCAAGCCCAGGACCCAGATGTGGACGGAGCTCTCTGGGGTGGGGGTGGGGAGGATGGGGAGCCTGGCCCCGAGCCTCTTGCATCACCCGGGGATGATGAAACCACGTGAGCGACTGGGGCGAGGGTGCGGGGCGGGGTCTGAGGGTGTACCCCGGGGTGCCGGCCTCTCTCCCCTTCTCCCCACCCAGCCCACCGGTCCCTGCTCCATCCGGGAGCCCAGATCCCTTATACACAAAAACAAAGATAACTTCAAGGGCACATCACCATCACCCCCTCCCCTGATGGAGAGCAGGATGGGCACCTGCAGGTGGAGGCGGGGAGGGAGGCCCCGTGGGACCTGCACCTTCCACTCCCTGTGGATCTAGAGGGAGCTGCAGGAGCTGGTAGGTCCTTGGCCCAGAGCAGGCGGCCTGGGTCACGTCCTGGGCATTCTCTCCCCGTCCATCCACCAATGAGGAGGGGGGCAGGGGGGAGACCACGCTTATGGGCCATGGACGTGAACAAAATACTTTATTATATGCATGTTCTTTCATTAAAAAATGTATTTTTATTGATTTCAGAGAAGAAAGGAGAGGGAGAGCGAGAAACATCCATGATGAGAGAGAATCCTTGACTGGCTGCCTCCTGCACGCCCTCCTCCGACTGGGGATGGAGCCCACAACCCAGGCGTGTGCCCTGACCGGGAATCGAACCCTGACCTCCTGGTGCCTAGGTCGCTGATCAACCACTGAGCCACGCCGGCCGGCTGCGTGTTCTTGTTTCATTCTCACAACCTTGGGAGGGAGGCGTTATCACTCCTGTGCGGTTTTGCAGAGGGGAAACGGGTCTCACCCAGCATAGAAGCAGCAGACGCAGGATTCGAACTCGTGTGTCTGGGTCCAGATTCCCCAGATCACTTCCCAGCAGCTGCCCGGGCGGCAGGAGCCCGGCTGGTCCAGGCCTTTGCTCCAGGGCAGCCCTCCCCATGGCCATGGCGATGGCGAGGCTGCATTTTACAAAGCCTCCCGCCCGCCCAGTCAGACTGCGTATTCTCTGGGGCCCAACTTGGGCTTCCTGCCCTCAGGAAGTCCCCCCGTCTTCCGAGAGTAGGTGACTCCTCTGACTCACAGCCTCACTGCCGGGAAGTGGCACCAGGGCCGCTGCCTCACGCACCCTCCGGGCCACAGGGTGTCAGGCAAACCTGAACCGGGAGGCTCAGCAGCCGGAAACTCCTGGAGGGCCTCCTGGAGGCGGGGGCCTTGGGTCAGCCACACCAGCCCCTCCTGGGCTTCCAGGGAGCGGCAGGGCAGCCAGAGGTCCAGACCCCGACTCCTGGGCACTGCTGCCTGGAGGCGAGGCGGTCACTGGGCACAGCGGTCAGCGGTCAGATGCGGCCCGAGAGGCAGGGAGAGGTTCGAACAGCAGCTTGGGGAGGCTCATGTAGGCAGGTCAGAGGCAGCCTGGGACAGTCCCCTCCGCCTCTGTCCAGCTTCAGCGCAGCCACGGCTCCCTGGCTGGGGCGTTCCCACCCCACCCCCCTCCCAGCTGCCTTCCTGCTCCCTCCTTCCCAAACCCTGAAGTTCCTCCAGACCAGACGCCTGTATGCATTTCCCACCCACCCCGACCCTGTCCTTAGGCCTGACAGACACACACACTCACACTCTCTCTCACACATTCACACACACACACACACTCACACTCACACACACATACACACACACTCGCATACACACACTCATATACACACACACACTCATACACACACACTCATATACATTCACACACTGCCCTGTGCTTGGCCCTGAGCCCCTCATGGACTGGAGTTTGGGCCCCACTCATGCCCTGAGCTGCGGCCCTTCCCCTGAGGCATCCTGGGCCTC